CCAATCCAGGTAATCCAGGTAATAGTTTCAAAACTATTACGAAATATCGACATTCTTGTAAAGCAATCACGAATGGTCAAATGTGTTAGAAAACAAGACCGCATTGTTGGTAGCACTCATTCAATACTTATGGTTGCAATTTTTTCATAATATTAAAAGTGAATGAATACAGTGTATGAAGTAGTGTCGAATGAAACTCAAGAAGAATGCACGTCGATGTGTTTGAGATGTAGCACCTGACAGTGGTTTGTGATGCAACGGACACAATTCATAAAATACGGCAATTCAGTCTTTACGAAATTGGCTCAAGTTTTAGCGACTCTACTAAACCCGTTGGCCTTGCTGAAGCCTGCATGGGATTCAGAGTAACTTGCAAGCTTTCGTACTTCGCAAATGCAAAATGTTTGATTTGAAGAAATGTCAGCCAATCGTAAGTGACTTCACGCAATATACTGCTCCGTTCTGTGACAAATGTACACTAAATTAACTTCAACAATGTTCTTGGAGAAGAGTTTGGTAGAGATAAAATGTACGACGTAATCACATCGAATGGATACATGAATATCCGCGATTATATTTTCGGTAAGGATTACCGATTGCATTGAGGTGCGTACACGAAGAGGGTTTATTTGTTGCTGTTGGTGGTGTGTTATTTGGGGTTGCTGACTTGCATAACTCAGTGGAAGTGGAGGTTCGTCTGTTTGCATTGCAAAATACTGCTCCGATGTACTCGGATCTGGATCGTACTTCGGCTCTGGCACTGAAACGATTAGTGCTGTTAGTGGACGTTGTTGTTACTTGATGAAATCTTCAGTTGACTGTATGAAGGTAGTTGAACAATATTTTTTTATTGCATTCTTTAACTGCATCATGAAAAATTGTTAGCTGAAATGAGTTCAACAAAAGCCCTCTTTCATGACCGCTAGTTTTCGAAATTTCCCAAGAACAGTTAATTTTGCTAATTTCATCAATGCAGTCTTGGTTAAAAATAATACCATTTTAACGGTGGAACTCACTCAATTCGTCCGCCATTGCTAAATCTTGTGCAGTGCCTCGTTGCTGAGAAGCACAAATAGCACTGACTGGCTCAGTCTTTAAGTTATCTACGAGCATACGCCACTGACTTTGTGAAGAACATGGTTCCACTGAAGATTGAGAGAAATTTTCAAACAACAGTTAAAATTTAACGAAAACTGGCCACTGCCACATAATTCGATGCTGTCGT